AAGGACACACTCCTCCTGGATTACCTGGCAGAAATGATATTTGGTTGCATTTTGTAGACTCCTCCACAATCTCTCACACCAAGCATACATGCAGCGACAGTGGAGAGGAAAAACGCCCTTTTAACAGGAAGAGTCCTCCAGCAGAACCAATCTCAGTGTGACCATCCTTCAGAGAGAAGTAGACATAGAAGAAGAAGCAGTTATACAAAATGTAACCAGCTACAAAGGTGACCCTGTCTAGAAAAGAAACAGTTAAGCAGACAAGCTCTGAGCCAGTTTACCTGACAAAGAATGAAAGAGAGCACATACATTTAGTCACATGAAAAACTGAGCCCATTAGCTATGTCCAGGAGAGAAATAGGGCTAAGCATTGAAAAACTGGCTTAACTCTATCATCTTTAACCAAAGGTGTTGATGGCAGCAGTCCATTTCCGTAAGGCTCTCTAGCAAGCAGGAAAAGACATAATAAAGCAATGAGAAAAAGTAGGGAGAACATAAAGTTTTTAAATGAAACTATGGAGAAAAAAAAAGATAAAATGAAGCAGAATGGGAAAATGTGTTTTTTCATTGTCCTCCAGCAGTCTAAGCACCAGGCATTGGTCCCTACAAGAAGCATTCTGTCCCCATAACAAGCTATTTTTTTCAGAAAATGAGCCCCAACATGTATCCACTGCACATACACACCCACACACAGGCAGGTGCACCACACACACTCAATAAGCCCCCTTGCCTTCCTAAAATAACCGGTCTTGGTTTGTATAAAATTGTACATAATGCTGACATGCTAGCAAACTACTTCATCCCTCTCTGTTACCAGTAATAAATAACAGGGTAATGTATTACTGGTGATAATATTACCAGTAATAAATGATTTATAGTTGTGAGTAAAAATGTGTACTTGTGAAGCGAACACATATTTTTAACTCTTCATTTATCTTTTTGCCAGTGCTATTTTGTTACTTCTATAATTAGCTATACTGTCCTTCACCTCATCTAGATTTTCCAACATTTCGACTCCTTCCTGCTGTTCCAGTCATAGTTTTGACGCAAACAAGCATATTTTGCCTTATTTACTTATTTATTTTTCTCTGTGTCTTTGTGGCCCCTCTAAGATCTATATTTATCAATTATGTTAAACACCTCAGTGAGGGACTGACCAGACCCCAACGGTTAGGAAATTGTAATAAAAGGGTAATTCTTTGTGTGTTATACACAGTCATTGTAAGATCAAATTAAAACCTCTTCTAATGCATCCCGTCCCTCTGATGTTACATACTGAGATACACAGCTTTTTAAGTTGACTGCAGGAACTAAAAGTTCTCTTTCTATCGGAGACCCAGCTGGGCCATTTGATTGTCAAATTATGACAATAGGCCCTTTTAAATGAGTCCATATGTGTCTGCTATCTACTAGCTCGATTATCTTCATAAGTCAACCCTAGCAAAAGATGCTGGGAGGTCTTTACCTTAACTATTCCCTCAGGAACAATCACAGAAAGTTAATCTGAAGGTATGAAGGTCTCCACATACTGTTAAGAGTGTTTATCAACAAAGGAGTGTCTTCAGTCAAATACTTTTGCAGATCCGGTGCAAGACAAGCCGCAATAGAAGATACTAAGCTATTAACATACAGTACCCAACAACTCATTGTGAAAACCCTATGAGTTAAGACTGCATTGAATTTCTACTCAACCTTTGATATCTAAATTTGGGTGAGATAAGACCTCAGACAATAAAGAGATTTTTTTTGATGTTTTTAATAGGAAATGAAATGGTTATACAAAGCAAACAGATTAATCAGAATTAGAATATGCAGAAAACCAGTTACCGTCAATGGCACCAGACAACATCTCATTTTACCTTTAAGAGATGGGCTGAGAGTGGTTTTAAACAATAAGTTTCTTTTCTTTTTCTTCCTTAATCTACACCCTGCTACAGTCTTTCCCTATATGTAAAATATGCCCTTTTTCATCGCCTTTCAAAAGCCTAAACTGAACGAGAACTGTGTGGCTGAATGATTTAAGCTAATTTCATCAGTTTGTGGATGTGTAAGCTGCTGTTGTGTGCATACAAGGCAACTGCTTCTTCTTTTTTTTTTTTTTTTTCAAATTTCCCTGGTCATAAAAACACAATTATAACTGGAAAATGTATATATAACGATATAACTATAGATAACTTTTTACACAAATGCCAGAAATCAGACCCTCAACATTTCGCTTTGGGATCATAAAAATTATTTGAATTGAATTGAACTGAAACTCTTATCGATAAATGGAGGGAATACAGTTTAAAAAGAATATCAGGAATCTAGAAATAAAGTATTCCTTCTGATTATTTTTCCTTACTACATAGACATATTTATGATGAATAACAACAAGAAGCAACATAGAATGTGCAGCTTAAAAAGAGTTTAGTGTGCATTTTAAAAGTTTTTATCTGTGTGTTTGAGCATCCTTCTTATTGTATTTTTACAAGTTATTTTAGGCTACTATAGTTCAGCAGTAAATATTATAATATGTAATATTCTTAGAGCAAACAGCATCTTGGACTTTCAAAAAATTATCCAGATTACTTAACCTATGGTGATTTTCCTCTAGTATCTACAATGTTTTTTTGTGTAATTTATACATTTGCATGCATTTTGTTATGGCCGAATCAGTCAAATATATGGCAAAAAACGTAGTTCACATCCCGTTGGCCAGTAATGATGCCTTATAACTGAGTTTAACTTGCAATCCCAGTTTAAAGGTCTAACTTCAAAGGCATCATCAACAAGAGTGATTCCCGGGTGTCTTAGAATAATATGGAACACACATCACTTTTGGGTAAATTTTTAACTGAAGCCTCAAGCAGAATTTTCATATTGGCTAGCTTCACATTGCAGTTCAGCTTACAGATATCAAATTGCTTTGTGTTTTACTTTGAAAATAGTTTGAACCCAACTTTTTGGGGATTTTAAAGACAGCCCAGTACCATTGCTGATACCTGTACCACAAGTTGTGCAACATGGCTGCGCCATTAACATTTTTCAGACAATTTAAGAATTTATAATTTATTATTTCTGTGTAAAAGTGTTTCATTAAATGTATATAAAAAAAAAAATTTAAATTTAGGTCAATACTCAGGATGTCACCTTTTTTAAAAAGGAAAACCCTACTTTGGAGACCACTGCATTAGAGTTAACTTTTTTGATAAGTTTAATGTCCCTAAACACAGAACAGTATGGACACAGTACTTCTGCATACTTTGTAAGCAGTGTAATCGCACGGGGGTCATGGCTGAAGAGAATGAACTAAATGACTCATTTTGATTTTTTGTTATGTATTGATAGTAATTTTGAAATCATCATACAGTTAAATGACCAGTTAAAGTGAAAATAACAAAAATAAACCTACCACCTTTAAAATGTCATTTTTGTAAGCTGGTAGGTGCAATATCAAATTTACTGCAGATGAATTTTGCTATAGTACAATCTATTTATTTTCAAAAAGCATATACAACACTGGAAGTTTCATTTCTTTAAACCCTTTTCATAACAAGGTAAAACAAGCATACCTTAAGTAAACTTTCAGCTCCAGAGGTTCAAACAAAGGGCACAAACAATGTCACTTCAAGCAAAGGCTTGCGCAGATGGGAAAACTAAAAGCTAAAGTATAAATGACTTTCTGTAAAGGGGGAGCCACCATAAAAGATGCTTGAATGTATATCCTTTCCTTTTTTTGTCTTTCTTATCAAATATCACTCTTATTCATGCTCTCAGTGTGTGGAAATAATAACAGCACAAAGATAAAAACATATTTTGAGTAGTGTCAGAACTGGTCTTTCAAAGCACATTTGAATGATGAATTAAACAAAAATTCTTTGAGAATTTAGATAATTATGATTTACTCTAAATTGCTCTTTACTGTAAGTATAAAATGTGATGTGAGATAGAAATGTGTCTGTTTTTGAGTCACCAACGCCGTAGGTGGGGGAGTCACATGTTTTATCCTAACTCCATAAATGTCAATTCCTGATAACAGTAATACCACAACTGTGTGTCCACCTACGCAGAGGCATCTGGTCCTTTACTATACATATGCATACTGGCGCAGGGTTACATACACACGTTTTGTATTGAAAGCGGTAATAGTAATAACAGAGACTCTTCTCGCTGAATCATTTTGATTTCCTGTAATACAAAAGCTAATGTTTACTCATCAGACAACCAGAGGGCTTGCTGACAAGACATTTGAGGAAAAAGGATTTACGGTTGATGAAAAAGAAAGCATTCCAGACTGTGATTTTGGTCAAAGTTTGTGAAAGGGATGTGGTTTAAGTGTGAGGGAAGTAAACGCAGAGATCGAAACTTAGGACCACAGAAGTAAAACATTACAATGCTTCAATGTCATCTACCTTGTGCTTTGACATTTAAGACATAAGCAGAAAGAGGAATTCTCCAATCTTAATTTTTGTATCCTTTGTTTGAGGCACAGGACTAGTGTGCAGCCTAGATTGGGCAAAGTCAGGCTGTGAGCATTAGAGGTGCACAAATAGACGATAAGACCTGAGGTCTCATCTCAATCAAGACTGATGGGAATGAATCATTTTTTATACAGTGATCTCTTATTACATTTATAGTAATAAATTGTTATGTGCCTGAATGAATTGCTGCTTTAATTTGGCCCCAAGCTTTTTGCCAAAGGGAAATCTAAAAGTAGCGAAGTATAGCTAAATTATCCAGAAAAAAAATACAGCAGGTGATGCTTTGAGCTCTTATGTGAAGCAACTACAACATAACTTTGAAATATTTAACTTGGCTCTTGGTCAATTTTCTCTTTTGCATATGTGTTACCTATTAATAACCCATCCTTCTTCCATTTTTACCCATTTTCCTAAAGCACCACATGTGCAACAGTGTGTAACTCAGTTTTTTTCATTAACAGGTACAAATAAAATACTCAGATATCCAATGTACTTAAATTGGGTTATCATGATTATCAATGAATGAACCCATTATGTAGTTTTTGGACAGTGTGTCTCAATATATCTGATGTAAAACATCCAGATCCTTCCCATTTTGCCATGAATGCTGCTCTTTGACAGAAAACCAAATGAGATGTTTAATCATTACTTTTTGACTTAAACTCAAGAACACTGGAGTTATGAAGTAGCAATATGAAGCAAAGTAAACCAGCAAGTCCACCTAGGAATAAATAAGGTTGTTGAACTGGAGAAAAAAAAATTCTAAAATTCCTCCACAGCTATTCAAAATACTAAATGAAAGTTTTGCATCACTTTATGACGGTTGTTGCTAACAAGGTGGCACAACGGGTGTTGCTTTAGGTAGTAATGTTTTGCATACAATCAGGTTAGTTTTCGTTGCAGATTTCCTCAAATTTAAAACAAATGCTTGATATTTAATTTGTTTGATGAAAATAATTTAAGTGGAACTTCAAAATTTAATCGAAGACCCCATCTCCAAAGCACCTCATGCATGGGAACGACAGCTCCTTGTGTATAATCTGCAAACCGACCATCAAGGTAGTTTTCCTTCCCACTTGAGAGGCCGCTAGTTTCAGGTCAAGAGGAACAGGTATCATTTCCCTGTAAGTTACGGGATGAGTGACATTTTCCATTTAACGTAGCCCACATTCACTGAGGCAGTGCTTGAACCACAGATTGTTCTCTGATAATTTACTGTGCAACATTTGTCCCCTCCTGTTTTGTGGGCAAATACCACAAAGAAAGGCGTAGCTACAAACCCTTACATGTTGCATGTCTACAGGCTTGAATAAAAATGGGCTATAAAGTTGGAATAGTTTCAAAAATATTTATTACTCGGTTTGAAGAAATTTTAAACTATACAATATTTCACAAGCAACAGAACCGTCAAACAAAGGGCCGGAATAAACAAGATTTTTCTATCATACATCGAGACAAAATTTGGGGTCTTCAAAAATCTGCCTTAGAACAAATCAATATTATACATTTTTCTTTTCTGTAAGCATGCCTTATGTCTACTTTCTTTATCTTGTATGTCGAGTGTTGTTGATTATAAAGTAAATGAGCTGCATAAAGAACGTAGAATCAGAAATTGTCCCCAAATCCTGTTCACCAAAATATAGATTTACTGTTACCTGTGAATGAGAAGTATTCATTCAGACTGGCTTATCTCACAGACATATCAGTGTTTGTCTTAGGGGCCATTCTTCCTGTGCACCTGTGCTAGTACTTCCTGTCTCAGTTTGCCCTCCACTCCGCTCATCTCCCCCACCCTCAAACCGCATCCTTCACACTGTCACAATAATATTTGCTGAAGAAGAAGAAAGAGAAAAGAAAAAAAACAACAACATATGAACTTACTCCCCAGTCTTTGAAACAAACGTGTAAAATCTTACAGGGTCTTCCCCATCTCATCCCCTCAGCCTCAAAATCATTTACAGTAAACATGGCTGCTGCAGTCTTTAGGCGTGATACAAATTCACAGCTTTACATTCACATTTATACCCATCCCGCTTATGTGCTTGTGTAGCTTTTTTTGCATGCTTTTCACTCCTGAATATGCTCCATGGGTCTCTGAGAAGGATAGTCAATAGTTGGAGAAGGGTTTTGTTCCTGAATGTGATCGTAGGCTCGCAGGTAGTGGCCAGCATTCTGTTGGTAATAGTAGATTAGCTTCTTGGCAAACATTGGCTCCACCTGTGGTGAAACAAAGCACAAAAGTTATGCTAGCCTCAGAGGTAAAGAGATATGAAACATGAACAATGAAAAAACAAAGTCAAATTCGTAGTTCGTGCACACTGCTCCCCAGGTGCCGGACAATGACAGCCCACTGCTCCCCAGGTGCCGGACAATGGCAGCCCACTGCTCCCCAAGGAGATGGGTCAAATGTAGAGGTGAATTTCTTCAATGTGAGATTAATTAAGTAAAATTGTTTTTTTATTTTGTGGAGTGGCAGCATAGTGGTTAGAACATTGCAATTGGAATGCAGGGGTTCTGAGTTCAAGCCCCACTCCCACAGACTGCCCCTAAGGGTCCCTGAGCAAAAGAACCTTAACTCTACACTGCTCCCCAGGTGCCGCTCAATGGCAGCAACGAAATATACTCTCTGCATTTACCCATCCCCAAGGGGATGGGTAAATGCAGAGAGTATATTTCATTGCTCTGTACTTGTGACAGCATAATGACAATAAAAAAGCTGAAAAAAAAACCCAAAATAAATAAATAACTTAGCCTGTAAGGATAACTGAGAGTAAAAAATTTAATAAACTGAAATTACTTTGAAACAGCAATCTTTATTTCTTTGTTTTAATGCTTTTTTCCCCTACATTTCGTACAAAAAAGGTTTGAGTTGTTAGGCTTTAGTAGAAAACAATAAAGGTCATATTAGTCATGGTTTGACTCATCTAAGGCACCTATTATCTAATTATATTGGATTTATCAGATCTTAACATCTCACTCATACATTTTCATGAAGCCCATTTACAAAGCATGATAAAGGAGTCTCACTTCAGCATTTTGCAAGGACAGTACTGTAAACCGTCTAAAAATAGCCACACGTGCATATAAATAATTTTATCAATTCATGGTCTGATTGTAATCAACACATCCATTTTCTGAGGATTGCAAAAGAATTGCATTAAAATTCTCAAATTAGCAGTGGCCATTTGCTGAATACTCCGTAGGATGCTAACATATCCCAATTAGTTTCACTGGGACATCCATTTACATACAAATAAACTATAAACCCTACTTTATACATAATAGAATCAAAATCACAATCAAGTTTATTGCCAAGTAGGTTTGCACTTACAAGGAAACTGACTTGGTGTTAAGAGCAGAACAAACTGA